GGAGCTTGCAGTGAGCTGAGATCGTGCCACTGTACTCCAGCCCGGGCGACAGAGGGAGACTCCGTCTCAAAAAAAAAAAAATGTGATAAGACAAATCGAGTATTATGCAGTAATTCAAGAGGAAGCAGATATATATTTGCTGATACTGAAAGATGTTCATTATTAAGTGAAAACAATATACAAAACACTATTTATATATCAGTAATAGGCCAGGCGTGGTGGTTCACACCTGTAATCCCAGCACCTTGGGAGGCCAAGGAGGGAGGATTGCGTGATCCCAGGAGTTCAAGACCACCTGGGCAACATGGTAAGAGCCTGTCTCTACAAAAAATACAAAAATTAGTTGGACGTGGTGGTGGACACCTGTAGTTCCAGTTACTCAGGAGGCTGAGGTGGGAGAATCACCTACGCCCGGGAGGTGAACGCTTTAGTGAGCTGTCACTGTGCCACTGCACTCCATCCTGGGCAACAGAGACCCTGTCTCCAAAAAAATACACACATACACACAAATTTTAAAACCTGGAGGCTAATATATCTCAAAATTAACAGTGGATATCTATAAGCGGCTTTTACAATTATTTTCTTATTCCACATTTTTCCCTTTCTATTTTTTTTTACAATAAATGTGCATTTGTTTTGTGAAAATAGCAATATATTTTATTAACCTTAAAATTATTTGATGCTATTAAAATATAAATAAAAACAATAATAAAAGAAAGGGCAAGTTTGCCAGCTCTCCCCATCTGCCTCCCCAGCCTTATCTCCTGACTGGATGATTGATCACTCCCAATAAACACGGACTCTTAATTAGTTTCACTATTTACTAACCTCAAAACAAGGCCATGTAAAGATGAATAATCATACTCTGCAGGTGATCTGCATGCACGCCAAATTTTGAGATGCGTTGAAAGAGGAAGTTCTTTACCTCTCTGCCTTCCATTATTTATTCTCATTTAACCCATTTCCTCCATTCATTCCTGAGAGCGTTTATTTACTTTTATCTACGCATGCGCACTCCTCGCTGATACAAAGGGCCGGTTCGCGCGGCGGTCCCGCCTTCTGATGTCGACCATTGGCTGGCTCTGCCAGCACGCTCCTGATTGGTGGCTGCGGGTCGGGCCCCGCTGCTTCTCAAAGTTGGCGGGAAAGCGGCGGCTAGGTGGAATGGCGGCGGCTGCGGACTCGTTCTCAGCCGGCCCCGCCGGG